CAGTCATACCTTCTGCTGTTCAACATAATGATGACTGGTCAATAATTAGTTATTTGTGGTACTGCATTTCAGTTTTAGAAAGAGAAAATCCGCTTGTTAAAAAATTAGTCAGACCACTAAAGCGCAAACGAAATATTTAGGTCCAGAATTAGCAGATTTGTGCTTTAGCGGGCTGGTGCCCACCACTGCAAAGGAGCCACCAAGAGAAACTAACATATAGTACTGAAAATAAAAGCTCCACATTAGAATAAAAGGAGACAAATGATTCAACTTCCTGTTGGCCATAGAGAAGATGAAGTAAACTTAGACTACAAACTAGTGTGCGTGTGAGGGTCTCATTGTTAAAAAAATCCCATCTTACTTCGAAGGTACTCCAGCAGGCTGCCGTACTTCATCAGCTCTGTGATGATGTAGATGGGTTCCTCGGTGGTGCAGACGGCGTACAGCTGGATCAGCTTGGGGTGTCGCAGCTTCTTCATGATCTGAGCCTCTCGCAGGAAGTCTTCAGAGTCCATCGAACCTGGAACACAGTGTTTGGATGGAGTTCGTTTCCAGAACATACCCTGAAGGTTCTGAACAAGTGGTTTTAGATGAATGATAAATAAAAACTAATCATGTTGGTCGTGATCTCAACATTCAGTGGTTGCATGAAGGACCTGACCAACCCACTAGGTAGTTCCTTGGTTCTGGTGGAGTCCTACCAGTCCTGAGACTGAGCTCAGCGTTGTGCTGATGACACACAGCTGGTTACACAGGGACTGAATAACCATTAAAAAACATTGATACCACAGAACCCCTCAGGAAAGCCACTTGTAGAAATGTAAACTCATGATCCCCATATGAACCCTGACAGGGTGAAGATCAGGGCTCTTGTGTAGTTCGGCTCCATGCACACAATGTATGGTTTTATGAAAGCATGTAAAAATAAAACCTTTCGTCTGCTCTGAGAAGGTGCTTACCTCAACTCAAACTTCTTCAGTCGACTGTATGAAACTAAGATCAACAGAAACTCCTCTAAATACACAAATCCGGTTGGTTTTCTTGACTTGAGTATTTAAATGTTTTCTCACACATTTGATAATTTACAGCTTAAAGCTGAACGATGAAACTGAACCACATTAAATCTCATACATCAGACTCAACATGACTGAACAACCTCCGTCTGATCGAACCTGTAAACTTTAAATGTACCGTATTTATTCATGTATGATACGACCTCACGTACAACACGACCTCATGTACAACACGACCTCATGTATAATACGACGCCCCTTTTTGATCTTGAAAAGCATAAAAAATTTAATCCTCAAACTACCTCCAATTTCATACAGACGAAAATTTTTCAGCCTTTGCAGTCTTTATACATATCAGTAAAATGACCATTGGACTGTTCATTTTATTTTAACAACATATGTACTAAACGGTATTTTGACAACAAATATACATCAGCTGTAGCAACATCATATGAATTCTGGCATTTTACACATAGTCCACCAGGAGGCGCCAACACAAAAGTCAGAGACTTCACATGAGATTTGGACCATCTTGTGGGGGAAAAGCAGATTACTTCCTAGTCGTGAGCGCCCCCTCTGGTGGGGAAACGTTTTTCAGGGATACAAACTTTTTCAGAACACCGGTAGACGGCAGCCATTACAGACGAACATGTGTTTGTTGTTGTTCCAGGAGCAGCTCGGTCACACACTAATGTCATTAGTTTGTTATTACTGAGGTGCAGGACTGCTTTTTTCCCTCTTTTTTTCACATCATGTCTCCTGATGGATCTGTTATTATCTCACTCTGAAGCACAGAGGAGTGTCAGAGGTAAGTTTGCTTCAACTGATTTTTACAACRCCATTTCATTTCCAGACTCAGGCATTTTGCTGATTTTTTGTTAAAATACATAAGTAAAGATATTTATCTGAGTATAGTACTACCCCCCAACTTTATGGATGATTTTATGGATTAAATTTTACGTATTATACWTGAATAAATACGGTAAATGTCTGCTCTTTGCACATGAAGCTTTTACACCTCACCACTTTAGGAGCATCTGACTCACATTCCATTAAACTCCTGATTTTCCTGCATCTAAACACTATTTGTGATTGAGAGAACCACTCATTGCAGCTCAGATCTGYATGTAGTTAATGGAGGCGTGTCAGGGGGAGGACCTATCTGAGCCTCCCAACACACAATCAATTTTCCTGAGAAGTGTGAACCCCTAATAAACTCATCTTCATTTTCATCATTTTAATTTCATATTTATGTTAACTTGCTGTTATCTTAACTTGCTGAAAATACATTTTTTGTTTAGGTAAAGATATAGAAAAAATGTTAAAGATGGTACAGGAAGAATTTGAAAAAATACAAAATTGGTTTCAACAAAAAGTAGATGTATTGAGATCTGTAAAGTCAGTGAGGTGAAATTTCTGGKTGTCATCATTGATGACAAGCTGACAGGGAGACCTCACATTATTTAAGAACAAAATATCTAAATCTATAGGAGTACTGTATAAAGTCAGGAAGTTATTCAGTGACAAAGCTCTGCTTGTGTTGTACAATTCAATCATTGTTGTGTTGAAGTCTGGGGTAAAGCTTGCAAAACTATTACAAATCTGATTTTTGTTTTTCAGGAAAGAGCTGTCAGAATTATCACCAGAAAACATTACTGTCATCCATCAAATATATTATTTTATAAATTGATATTAAGATTTTATG